ACCACTCATAATCTGCATTTGGGAGGGTACATCCTTTAAATCCAGACGGCCGGAGTACTGGACATCTATGATCTCTGAACAGTCATGTTTCTGTTCCTCTGTTTCTGGCAAGAGAGTGGCTGGGTTAAGGGAGGGGCAAGGCTGTAAGGTGACTTCAGAGTTCTCTAACAGCTTAGCCTGGTACCGAGCAATCCGAGCCTGGGTGAGCCAAAGCCCTCCCTTTGCATCCAATAAGGCTCGGACCATATGGGGAGTATAGATTTGCATAACCCCTCCCAATGTTAGCTTCTCCACTTCCTCAAGCACTAGGGCAGTAGCTGCGACCGCCCGTAAACATGCCGGCCAACCCTTTGCAACCTGATCCAATTGCTTAGAAAAATAAGCCACGGGATGTCTCCATGCTCCTAACAGCTGTGTGAGCACTCCTAGGGCCACCCCCCTTCGTTCATGTACATACAACTGAAACGGCTTAGAGAGATCCGGCAGGTCCAGAGCTGGGGCTTCCATCAATTTTCTTTTCAGGATTTTAAATGCCCTGTCAGCCTCTGGAGTCCAATAGAAGGGGTCATGGTCTGCTCCTTTTACACAGTCGTACAGGGGTTTAGCCCACAGTCCAAACTCTGGGATCCATATCCTGCAAAAGCCTGCCATACCCAGAAATGCCCTGAGCTGCTTACAATTACTTGGAGAGGAACTTGACAGATAGCTTCCTTTCTTTTTTTTTTTTTCGCTTGAACGCTGACGCTCCCCTTGCCTTAGCTGTAACCTGATCCCTCTCCACCTCAGACAACAGGGTTCTCAGGAAGATATTACAGTCCTCTCAATCGGCTTGTGACTACTGAGGCACCCCTCAAAGACTGAAATAAACCTGCTTGGGTTCGTTGAGAATTCCCCAGCCTGTGTTTTAAAAGCTGCTAAGTCTATTGGATTGAATGGCACATGGGTGTAAACTTGCATAGTGGTAGCCTGACGTCCGTCTGCCCCTGGGCAAGCCACAACCGTCTCGGTAAGCAAAGGATAGAGTACCACCGAGTGGGCAATCTCTGTAACCCGAGACATCCTACCCTGATAAGGTGGGGATGTGGGGGCCGAAGGGGACACCGGCTCTGCCATTACAGTGGGGTGGGGGTCAGGGGACTAACATTAGCTACTACCGAACCAGTCGGAGTCAAATTACAACTTTGCAGAATTACAGCTCTGTTTTATTTCTTAAAGCCATAAACGCTTGTGCATACAAATATTCATTCCATTTACCCATTCACTGACAAAACAAAGCTAATTGGAGGATTGTGTTGTAATTAATTGACCCTCCTGGTGGCCACCACTCCTGGTCCTCTAGTTGATATTGAGGCCAGTCAACTGTACAGAATCGTTTTAATTGGCTCTTAGTCATTGGATCCGCACCAAATACCTTCCAGTTTGCTAGAATGCACTCTAGGGGCGTACACCGTGCCCTAACCCCTGAGCTCTGTCCCTGTCCCATACCTACAGGGTAACTCTGGGCGTCCCCAGGTTCCAACAGAGCATATAATTCGGATTTTAAAAGGTTCCTACCTTATCCAAGGGACCGGTTCTTCACCGTGGCCTGCAGCTGCTCCTCCCCCATGTCTAAGGGACCGGTTCTTCACCGCCGTCCACAACTGCTTCTCCACTATATGAGTGCGTTGCACCGTTGTGCCCTCCGGGGTCGATCAAATCGTATCTCCTCCGAGGCCCCCGATGAACTCACCGGTGCGCGCTGGGCGTCGGTTCTCGCCGCAATCCTCGACCTCCAGGAAGGGTCCGGGCAAGGCTAAATTGCAGCCTCGTTGCCCACCCAGGGACGCCAAAAGCTGTTGTTGGCACCCGGTGCCAAGAGGCTAACCAACAGCTGAAGTTGGTTCGTTACCCGGTGTGCTACACCCAATAATCACAACGGGGTGGAGAAGCAGAAAAGTTTATTTGAAGCTTCAAAAAGCTACAGGGAGATTTGAATCTCAATCCTGTACACAGAGCAGGAAGTTACATAGGCTTTTATACATCCTTTTCCCCAGCATACTTATCCAATAGCAAGCTGCCCCAAGTATCCATATAGCCAGCCAATCCAGTTCCCAGCTAGTTCCCTGATTCTCTGTATCATTTGTTAAACTATACATAAAGCTGCTTTATTCAGCATTGTTCTTCCATATCTGCCCTGTTTGGCCTTGCTTAGTTTCAGGCAGTCTGACTCCGCAGCATATTGTTGCAGATCCTCAGCAAAACTGCTGTGTGTGCCTCCAGGCGGGGGGGCCAAGGACACTTGGGCCTAGTACGCAGAGCTGCTGCGAGTGCCTCCAGGTGGGAGGGGGGCCAAGGACACCTGGGCCTAGTGCGAGGGGGCTTCATCGCCACTCATGGTCTTCCATCCCCTTGAGTTACCTAGTGGCCATGCCCCAGTGTCCCCAACAATGTTATGGCAGGGAGTCAGTCATTAGATGGTGCTATTACATATTCTTTCAAGTTCCTTTTCCTAGCTTGCGAGTAAATATTTAGTCTTGGCAGAAATGCTGTGTTGTCAGTTTTGGGAGGAGCTGTGGCAAACCCCAAGGGAGTGTGGTCTCTGCTTTAGGCCTCTCTAAGTGGAGTTAATGCTTGAGGTAGTGTTGCTGGGAATTAGACACTGATATTTGGGCTGAGATCCTTGAAAATGGAGATTGCATGCATGCTGTTTTTGACCAACTCTGTTCAAAGACTGGTGTTTATAGTGCAAAATAAACAAGTTGCACAAAGAATATACCCAGACTCTGTGTCAGTAATTTTCCTCTAATTGGCAGCTGCCTTGGAAGGCTCTCACCTCTACTACCACTTTGCACCAGGGTGCCAGTAATAATAACAGGAGATGAAGAATTGGACCTTTGGAAGTAGTTTTTGTGAGATAATGGTATGGCTGTGCTTTCTGATCATCTTTAATTGTACCTATTCATGTGTATACTGGGAAAGGGCTTTGATAGTTGTATAATACCATAGGGCTCTGGCTAGAACATTTATATCCTGAGTCGCTGCTTTCCTCACAACCGGAGACACCATTAGCGGACTACGCTCAGTGTATCTCAACCTAGCAAGGACATTTTTTGACACTACTGTTTTAATATTTGCATTATAGTCTGCAGCCGGGCTTTCCAATCCCAACCTCCCTCCCTCCCGCCCTGCTCTTATTTTAGCAGAGAACATGAGTATGTGTGTGTGGGGCCCTTGAGGAATTCCACCATGATTTCAACAACTTCCATCCCACCATCAACCTCAGCCTGGTCCAGTCCACACAAGAGATCCACTTCCTGGACACTACAGTGCTAATAAACAATGGTCACATAAACACCACCCTATACCGGAAACCTACTGACCGCTATTCCTACCTACATGCCTCCAGCTTTCACCCTGACCACACCACACGATCCATCGTCTACAGCCAAGCTCTGCAATACAACCGCATTTGCTCCAACCCCTCAGACAGAGACAAACACCTACAAGATCTCTGTCAAGGTTTCTTACAACTACAATACCCACCTGCGGAAGTAAAGAAACAGATTGATAGAGCCAGAAGAGTTCCCAGAAGTTACCTACTACAGGACAGGCCAAACAAAGAAAATAACAGAACGCCACTAGCCGTCACCTTCAGCCCCCAACTAAAACCCCTCCAACGCATTATTAAGGATCTACAACCTATCCTAAAGGATGACCCAACACTCTCACAAATCTTGGGAGACAGGCCAGTCCTTGCCTACAGACAGCCCCGCAACCTGAAGCAAATACTCACCAACAACCACATACCACACAACAGAACCACTAACCCAGGAACTTATCCTTGCAACAAAGCCCATTGCCAACTGTGCCCACATATCTATTCAGGGGCACCATCACAGGGCCTAATAACATCAGCCACATTATCAGAGGCTCATTCACCTGCACATCCACCAATGTGATATATGCCATCATGTGCCAGCAATGCCCCTCTGCCATTTACATTGGTCAAACTGGACAGTCTCTACGTAAAAGAATAAATGGACACAAATCAGATGTCAAGAATTATAACATTCATAAACCAGTCGGAGAACACTTCAATCTCTCTGGTCATGCAATCACAGACATGAAGGTCGCTATCTTAAAACAAAAAAACTTCAAATCCAGACTCCAGCGAGAAACTGCTGAATTGGAATTCATTTGCAAATTGGATACTATTAATTTAGGCTTAAATAGAGACTGGGAGTGGCTAAGTCATTATGCAAGGTAGCCTATTTCCCCTTGTTTTTTCCTACCCCCCCCCCCCAGATGTTCTGGTTTAACTTGGATTTAAACTTGGAGAGTGGTCAGTTTGGATGAGCTATTGCCAGCAGGAGAGTGAGTTTGTGTGTGTGTGTGTGTGTGTCCCTGGGGAAAAAAAAAAGGGGGGGGGGTGAGAAAGCCTGGATTTGTGCTGGACATGGCCCACCTTGATTACCATGCACATTGTAGGGAGAGTGGTCACTTTGGATGAGCTATTACCAGCAGGATAGTGAGTTTGTGTGTGTGTTTTTTGGAGGGGGGTGAGGGGGTGAGAGAACCTGGATTTGTGCAGGAAATGGCCCAACTTGATTATCATGCACATTGAGTAGAGAGGTGTCACTTTGGATGGGCTATTACCAGCAGGAGAGTGAATTTGTGTGGGGGGGGGTGGAGGGTGAGAAAACCTGGATTTGTGCTGGAAATGGCCCAACTTGATGATCACTTTAGATAAGCTATTACCAGCAGGACAGTGGGGTGGGAGGAGGTATTGTTTCATATTCTCTGTGTGTATATAAAGTCTGCTGCAGTTTCCACGGTATGCATCTGATGAAGTGAGCTGTAGCTCACGAAAGCTCATGCTCAAATAAATTGGTTAGTCTCTAAGGTGCCACAAGTCCTCCTTTTCTTTTTGTGTGTGTGTGGGGGGGTGTCTCTCTTCTTTCTGGAGAACGTTCTTTGTGAACAGATGTACAGGGCTCCCCCGCCCGCCTCACAGGGAGGCAAAAGAAATGGCTGGCGGCAGGTTGCGGAGTTAAACATAAATCTAGGGTCGACGATGACCCACCATGTGTACAGGGGAGCGGGGCAGAGCGCTGCGCCCCTCTCCGCTTGGTGGTGAGAGTAGGGCAGAGCAGCGAAGGGCGGCGGCAGGGGGAGCCCCATGATGAAACCTCGCTCTGTGTTTCAGCAGCAGGAAGACGGGGAGGAGGAGCCAGGTTTCACGGGCGCCGCTCGGCAGGTGAGGAGGGGTCGGGGAGACGGTTGCCTCCGCCTGTCTGGTTCGCAGCAGTCTCTGGAGCGGGGCCTCCCTCAGCATCTCTGGCCGGCTGCTGAGCAAGCCTGGCCCGGCGCTGGAGGCGGAGCAGGGGTAACGGGGCAGGGAGGGCGGCGGCGGCGGTAGTTTGCTGTGCCCGGCAGCCGCTGGCTCTCCCCGGGCGGGGCCCGCACCGCGTGGCTGGCCGGCCGGCCGGGCGCGACGGGAGCGCTATCGCCGCGCCGCTGCTGTGGCTGGCGAGCCTGCTGCCGCCCGCCGCCGTGCTGCTTCCGCCGGACCGAGCTCCTTCCCGGCTTGTGCCCGGCCGGGGTGTGCTCCGCTCCCCAGCTACCGGCTGGGGCCCTCCAGCTGGGGGGAATGGCGCGCGCGCCCAGGGGCAGCTGGTCACTCGCGGGAAGGATGTTGATGTTTTTCTTTTGCCAGCTGTAGGCTCCGATCCTCCAAACTCTTACCCGCCTGCTTAGGGACTGCTCGTGGCACAGGGCTGGAGGAACGGGGCCTTACTTTGTGTGTTGCATTAGTGCCTAGAAGACCCAAAGATTGAGGGCCCCATTCTGCTCGGTGATGACTACACAGAGGCAGATACTGGCCCCGCTGGGCTTCATGTGGGCTATGCAATCCTTAAGAGGAGAAAGAAAAGGAGTACTTGTGGCACCTTAGAGACTAACCAATTTATTTGAGCATGAGCTTTCGTGAGCCACAGCTCAAAGTGAGCTGTGGCTCACGAAAGCTCATGCTCAAATAAATTGGTTAGTCTCTAAGGTGCCACAAGTACTCCTTTTCTTTTTGCGAATACAGACTAACACGGCTGTTCCTCTGAAACCTGTCATTACTTAAGAGGAGAGGCTTACTGACTCATTGCTGTGCAAAGCTGTACGCCTAAGAATTGCATCAGACAGAGGATGTGAAGAAAGCAATACGTGTTACTTGGGCTATCAGCGTTGAGACTACTGGGGAAAGGAGGGTTTTTAGACGAAATTTTGCTGAATGAAATGGGCTTACCTCCCGTCCCCCCAGAAATTCACTCCATGGTCAAACCATTTGAAAAAGGTTGTCCTGCGGTGTTAAAGAGACACTGCCAATTTGAAATCGAGTCAATTACAAATACATTGAAAGTCCTTTTGAAGTACCTACACCTACCTCTGAGTCTGTGTGCCAATTTTTATAGCTTGGCAACTCCATTTCCCTGTTTTTTGTTTAAAAATTTTCCCCCCTACTCTGTTGCTGTGTGGAAGACCCATGCAAACAATAGAGGAAATACAAAATAGTGAAACAGCTACATTGACTATGCAGAAAGTACCATCAAGTACACAAAGTAAATAAGAGGAAAAACACGTTCCTCTGTTTTTCAGTTTCTCCCTTTTAAAATGGGCTATGTCTTCACTAGCAACCTTAAAGCGCTGCTGTGGCTCTCTCCCAGCGCTGTAAAAAAAAAAAAAAAAAAACCCACTCCCACCAGGGGAGCATGGCTAGCAGCGCTGGGAGCACAGTCTACACTGCTGCTTTACAGCGCTGAAACTTGCAGCGCTTGGGGTGTTTTTTAACACCCCTGAGCGAGAAAGTTGCAGCACTGTAAAGTGGCAGTGTAGACGAGACCTATAGTCTTGGTAATTCTTTAAAAAACAAAGAAACCCCAAACACTCTCCCACCCAACTCAATGGACAGAAGAATGGTTTTTAAGTTAACAGGGTTGCTTGAACTGTTAGCACATTATGTACATGTGATTTAATAATTACCATTAACAAGGAAAACGAATAAAAATATTGCATATGTGGAAAATGTCTGTTTGCCAGATACAACTTGACATTTGGAATGTTTTGACTTGAGTGGTTCATTTCGTAAGTTAGATTCACTAGATATTTGCATTTGTCAGCAAGATCTTTCAAGAGCCTTTAGTCAAATTGTCTAAACTTAGGGTAACTAAAGCTCTTGCTTATCAGACTCAGAAAGTCAGGTCTGTCTGCTAAGTTAGGACCAAAACTAATTTTTACCCACTTCCTGACCACATCTGATCAACATATGATTCTGTACTTGGAATATGAGTTTGCATTCTGTAAGCAAGAAACAACTAAAATAACCCACAAACATATTTACTGTATCTAAAACTGAACTTAAACCTAGTTTATTGGTCTGTGCAAGGTATGCTGAAGTTCTGAAGTTGTTTGTTTTAAATCAACCTTCTGTCAACAGGGCCTAAACAAGTTACTTTCTTCATAAGACAGTGTTTAATTATTCATATTCAAGAAATTAAAATATGCTTCATAGGTATCTGTTATAGCTAAAACACATTGGATGATGACATATCTTTCTGTTAACAGGTTCTTCATTTTAAGTAGCTGTGACACAGCCTGCAAGAGATTTCAAAATGTGTGGTATCTGGGCCCTTTTTGGAAGCGATGAATGCCTTTCTGTCCAGTGTCTAAGTGCCATGAAAATAGCTCACCGAGGTCCTGACGCATTTCGTTTTGAAAACGTCAATGGCTTCACCAACTGTTGTTTTGGTTTCCATCGTCTTGCGATTGTTGATCAATTATATGGCATGCAGCCTATTCGGGTGAAGAAGTTTCCATATTTATGGCTGTGTTACAATGGAGAAATCTACAACTTCAGACAGGTAAACAAACAAACAAACAAAAAAATAAAAAAAAGACTGATCTGTAGTACCTCAGTGCCGGTGAAGATTTGGAACATCTCTAAAACACTGTGGACTAAAATGTCAGAGCAAATAATCAAATGATGCAACTTCAAAAACAAACTGGGTCAAAATCTGGAGCCAATTCATAAGTATATGAGAGAGACTCAGAATACAGTAGTCCTTCAAATAGTTACAGTAAATAGTGACTATGTATAAACAGAGGAAAAATAACTTAGTAAAGAAGTCTACCCCAATTTTAAGCTTCCAAGGGGTAAGTGCATAGTCAGTGCTTACTAATAAAGAATTTGGGAGTCAGAGGGGAAAATGTAAAATTACCCCCTCCACCCCCAAAAAAAAGTCCTCTTAAATTTGGTATTCTTCAGATTATTTTGGGGGAGCTCTTCTTCTGTCCTCCTCGTATATTATTTATGTTTCTGCTTAATCTCATCATATCAGATGAGATAGGACATGTCTTAAATATTCTCAGTATAGATCAATACAGTGTTCACTGTGGGCCAGATTTTCAAAAGTATTTAGGCACCTAAAGATACAGATGGGGTCTAGCGGAATTTTCAAAACCACCTAAGCAGTTTAGGGGTCTAAGGGTATACCTACACTTAAAGTGCTACAGTAACACAGCTGTACTGCTTCAGTGTAGACACGCACTGCTGCGACGGGAGGGGTTCTCCTATCGCTGTAATTAATCCATCTCCCTTAGAAGTGGTAACTAGGTTGATGGAAGAATTCTTCCTTTGAAATAACCCAGGCTGATCACCATACTTGGGGTTGGGAAGGAATTTTCCTCCAGGGCAGATTGGAAGAGGCCCTGGAGGTTTTTTGCCTTCCTCTGTAGCATGGGGACGGGTCACTTGCTGGAGGATTCTCTGCTCCTTGAAGTCTTTAAACTACGATTTGAGGACTTCAATAGCACAGATATAGGTGTGAGGTTTTTTGCAGGAGTGGTGGGTGAAATTCTGTGGCCTGCGTTGTGCAGGAGGTCAGACTAGATGATCATAATGGTCCCTTCTGACCTAAATATCTATGAATCTATGGTTAGGTCTGCAAAGCCGTGTCTCTCAGCGGTGAGGATGTAGCTATGCTGAGGGTAAGTTCCCAGTGTAGATGAGTCCTGAATCTCATTGAAATGATTGGGAGTTAGGTACTCAAGTTGGGCACTCTTGAGAATCCCTTTAGATGCCTATCTGCATCTTTAGGTGCCTAAATACCTTTTGAAAACCTGGCACTGTAGTCCTAATTTATTGTCTGGTTCTACCTGTATCCTTAAAGTTATGCACGTTCATAGGTACCTTCCTGAATCCAGGCCTATATATAGTCAGTCACACCAGCATGTTAAATATGGAATGTATGGGTAAGTAGCAGCTGTGATTGATAGCAAAGGCCTGACTCTGTAATGCTTACTCAGTCACGCTCCCACTGATGTCACTGGCAGTTTGACGAACTACGTGCTGCAGAGTGTGGCTTTTTCAGTGTCTGATTGTTGCGGTAAGCTACTGAGAATCATCCTAACATACTGCAGAGCAAAGCAAATGCTGAGTCCCTTGTATCAGCAGTCTTCTATACTTGCTGTGTTCTGCAGGATGTAATGGTCATTTTCAGTAGCAATGCCCCTCTGCCATGTACATTGGTCAAACTGGACGGTCTCTACGTAAAAGAGTAAATGGACACAAATCAGACGTCAAGAATTATAACATTCATAAACCAGTCGGAGAACACTTCAATCTCTCTGGTCACGCGATTACAGACATGAAAGTCGCTATTTTACAACAAAAAAACTTCAAATCCAGACTCCAGCGAGAAACTGCTGAATTGGAATTCATTTGCAAATTGGATACAATTAATTTAGGCTTGAATAGAGACTGGGAGTGGCTTAGTCATTATGCAAGGTAGCCTATTTCCCCTTGTTTTTTTCCTACCCCTCCCACTCCCCCAGGCGTTCTTGTTAAACCCTGGATTTGTGCTGGAAATGGTCCACTTTGATTATCATACACATTGTAAGGAGAGTGATCACTTTAGATAAGCTATTACCAGCAGGAGAGTGGGGTGGGAGGAGATATTTTTTTCATGCTTTGTGTGTATATAATAAGATCTTCTAAACTTTCCACAGTATGCATCCGATGAAGTGAGCTGTAGCTCACGAAAGCTTATGCTCAAATAAATTGGTTAGTCTCTAAGGTGCCACAAGTACTCCTTTTCTTTTTGCTTTCTAAAAGCAGACTCTGAACATGAGTCCAACCCTGCAGTTCTTAATCCGGCAAAACTTGCATTGCCATTAGTGGGAGTTATAAAATCATGTGTGCACTGATGTAGTTAAAAACAATTTGAGTAAAGAGAGTGATTTCCGGTTGGCAAGTATGTTTTTGGAGCTTATTTGTTAAAGAACCATAGGTGAGCTCCATGGTGGCCAATGACAAAACTCCCTTTGACTTCAGTGAGGCCACGATTTCACCCCATGATTTAAAACATATTATCAAAAATATAGTGATAATATCCTTTTAACAGTTGCTGTCTTACAAGTTATTTTTGGATGATTTTCTACCATCGGTCAGTAAGTACCATCAGTAGATGGTTGTGCTACTTTTTAAAATGATTACAACACGAGCATGAAGCATACTCATGGCTGCCAAAACTTCTGGCATCTGAAACTGCTTATTTTTGCTTATGGAAGAATCTTAAATTTCACTGAACAAACTTTTGTTTGTTTTGTTTTTTAATTCCTCCAGTTAAACTGGCAAAATGAAATTCTCAGGTCAAAGTATTATTACTGTATTATGCTGGTATTGTATAATTGAAGCAAATACAGTTCATTTCCAAAGTGCTTTAGAAATATTAATGAATTAAGCAACGCCACACCCCTGTAAGGTAGATAAGTAGTATTGTCCCCATTAAGAGATTTAATTTTAGATTAAGTGAGCTCAGTGTCTCTAAAAATCTGACAAGGGTGTCTCAAATTTTACACCCAGCAACTGAAGCCCACACCTTTTGAAAATTTGTCCCTGAAGTGAGTTGCAGAGGAAGTCAGTGGCAGAGCTGCAAATAGAACCTAAATCAGATCTGAAACACAGTGTATCCTTTCCTTTGCTTGTATGAAAACGTCTATAAAGTTTTCAGACTCTTATCCACCAAGTAATCAATATTCTTTTTTTTTATTAAAAGCAAGTAAATGTCCCCCTCCTCCCCTTTTTTTTTAAAGTAAAAATGAATGCAGTCAGTGTCTGTGAATGCTAATCTTTTTTTTCTTTCTAATAATTTTCCTTAGCTGCAAAAGCAGTTTGGATTTGAATATCAAACTTTAGTAGATGGCGAGGTAATCCTTCATCTTTACAACAGAGGAGGAATAGAGCAAACAGCCTCCATGCTAGATGGTGTGTTTGCATTCATCCTGCTGGACACGGCAAACAGGAAAGTGTTTCTGGGAAGAGATACATATGGAGTCAGACCATTGTTTAAGGTGCTGACTGAAGATGGATTCTTGGGTGTCTGCTCTGAGGCAAAAGGTAAAATCAATAAAGTTAATAAATTTAGTAATCAACTTCATCGTCACCGCTGTTGAGTCAAAATATAAAAAGTCTTGAAGGAACACAAATTTTATTCTCTTGGTGATCGTTAAGGAGATACAACAAAATTATTGGTAATTTAGTATAAAATCATGTGTGTTCCCATTTGTTTTTAAAAAAATATGTAAATAGAACTTGATAGACATTTTATAAAATAGGAAGACATTAGACTTGAATAAATGGCCTTTTAATATAGCTAAAAATCAGTTATCTACTTTTACATAGTTATGGCTGCCAAGTATCTTTATTATCTGATTTCAGATAATATTTGAAGTCTTGATTCTGATAGTTATACAGAAGTCAGGTGAAGTCAATGGATTTATGCCAGTGTAAGTGAGACCAGAGTTTGATCCTCGGAATTCTGACTGAATTCTGAAGTAACTGGTGGGAACCTGTCGAATCAGATCAAGAAGTTTACAGTCCTGCTAAAATTTTGTAGAGGAAGAGAAAATACAAATGCTTTTAGAATAATTGCTGTCTCTTATTTGAAAGTTCAGTATCCTTTTTTTTCCTCAGTTAGACCTCATACTTCCACCTAGGGTAACCAGTTAGCAAGTGTGAAAAATTGGGGACTCTTTCTCTCCCCACCCCTCCCCCCACTGGGCTAAAACCCATAGACACTCCCGCATCCCTTGCAGGGCAGAAGCCCCTAGTTCCACCACTCTGCCACAGGACAAAAGTGCCAAGCTCCCCCATGCCCAATCTTATAGGTGGAGAATGAGAGAGGGGTACGTGGGGTGCCCTGTGAGCCACACTTTAACTGTAAAGACCCGCATGTGACTCACAACCTACAGTTTGGCCACACCTTCTATATAAGACACCAGTCCTAATATCAGGATGGTCCTGATAACATTGGGATGTCTGGTCACCGTACTTCCACTGGTTCTTTATTTTTAGGAAAAACGATGAAATACTGGAACCATAGACACTAAGGTGTATAAACACTACCAAACTGGGATAGGAAGGGAGTTTATTTGAATAAGATCTAAATAAATCTCTTGTTTCCTCACATTTACCCTTGAACTGCTGTATATGTGTTTCGTTATTGGCATCCAGATTAGCTCGACCATTGTAATGATGCAATCTCAGAGACTCAATCCTACAGTCTTTTTTTTATTTGTGCTTAACTCCCTATGGTGGGTTTTTTTTTTGTTTGTTTCGTTTTGTTTTTTCCCCTTTTCCCCAATAAGGACTGCTCACAGTTCCCTTCTGTATCACTACTAAAATAACTTAACTTTTTTTGAAATCCATCTGACTGCATCCAAATAACCATGTGGGCACATTCCCCTTTCAGTTTTTGCAAAATACTCCCTGTGACTTCACCAGAAGTTTGTGTAGAATGAAAGTAAAATATGGCCCTTGACCATTTTATTGCCAGTCTGATCCTGAGTCCTTTATTAGAAACAACACATTTAGGTTCTGAGTCTATAATTTAGTAATTATGGAATTGCTAAATTGATATAAATAATTACTTATTTTAATATCAACTCTGCAGTGACTTTGGCCGCTTAGTGATTTTTGTTAACCTCTTTTTGGTTTTATATGTAAACTTTTTTTTCAAAGTGGGTAATCTAAAGTCCAGAAGAAAGTTCAGTGTCTTAGTTTGACCAGTGCTGCTAATTCCTTTCATTGTTACTTTCTGTCTTTCAAGCTCGCACAGGCGCTTGACCCTGTCACTGTATTCAATAATGCCATATTTTCCCTAAAACATCTCAGTAGTAAAATACTACTTAGCAGTTAGAAGCTGAGTTATAGTAAAGTTTGCCCTGTGCTGCGCTGAGACCTGACCCTGTGCCATGCAAGTCAATGGGAGTTTTGACACTGACTTCAGTAAGCGCAGGACGAGACCCTTTGGTGCATTAGGGGATGGAGTGAGTGTCGAGAGCCTCTTTCCCCACACAGACAGCAAGATAGGTAGAGTTTCTCCATAGGGTTAAAAGATAATATGGTAGCCTATGAACCATGACCCCAATGAGGTTGTCTGTTGTTTTGGTGGCTTGATCATAGCTAGATGGGCGTATCATGAGCTGCATGCTGCTGTTAGTAGCAAGTGCTAGTTACAAGGAACACCCTGTCTATGTTTGCAGTTTACTTTGCTGCTGCTCTAAAACAATCTGTTGTTGGGAGGACTCCTGAATCAGAGGAGGTCTCAAGTAGCATATCCTACCCCCCACACCTCCCACCCCCGTCATTGTACCAGCCAGGGCAGAATTAGATTATAATAGATAATCTGGAGAAAAATATTTTGTATCTAATTTTAGGCAGCTCAGGGACCATGGTGAAAGGCATAGTAAATACTCCTCCACATTTTTTCATGTTTGCAGGTCTTATCAACTTAAAGCACTCCATGTCCTCTTGTCCTAAAGTGGAGCCATTTCTTCCGGGACACTATGAAGTGTTGGATTTAAAACCATCTGGCAAAGTTGCATCAGTGGAACTGGTAAAATTTCATAGTTGTAAAGATGAACCTCTGCATGCTGCTTATGATACAATGGAACATCTGCCTGCAGGTAACACAGCAAAGAAATAGATTTTTATAGCCTTGTTTTAAATTAATCAGAATAATTCATTACTTAATTTTTCATGAACATTTAACCTGTATTGTGTGGTATAAGTGGTAGAATCATTTGGCAAAGAGCTGAAAAGAAACCTTAGGCTGTAGGGGCGTGATATTTGGGGGCTCTCTTTTTATGTGCTTGTGAATATATTGGAGCTCCTTCCTCCTTTTCTGAAATTCATTTGATAGCAAACAATGTTGTATCCTTATTTAGTTTAGTCCAGCAAAGCCTTAATGAAACCCCCGAAACAAGGATATTTGCTTGTTTCCTTTCGTGGCAGGTTTGGATCTTGAAACGGTGAAAAGCAACATTCGGCTTCTGTTTGAAAATGCTGTTAGAAAACGTTTAATGAGTCACAGAAGAATTGGCTGTCTTTTGTCAGGTAAATATCGAAACCTAGAATGATTATTCTTTCCCTCCCTGCTCTCTTCTTCTTCTTCTTCCCCCCACCACCCCGTGCCAATAAATAAAGTGCTTACTTACTCTGGTATGTCTGTGATGCAACTAAAATAACACGACTTTTAATACACTTTTTCTACCTACCAAAAATTTTAACAGAAACTTGAAGGAATTTTTGAAGATTGTTGTGAGCCTCTTACTATAGTTTACTATAGTTTATTGAGCCTCTTACTATATTATTATTATTATTTATTATTATTATACCTAATGGAACCTGAGCTGGGACGTTGGATTGCAGAGTGCCTGGCCATCTTTCACTAAGAAGATACAAAAACAACACTTTAATCAGTGCTAATCCAATGTACTCATAACATTATAGGGCTTTTTAGTGAGGGTAAATATCTTATAAAAATGAGACATCACCTCACTATTGCAAGGTAAATCTGTAGAGAGGCCTCTGCGTATTCCAGAAAAGAGGGGGAGTTGGCTTCTTTTCTGCATTTCACCTCCCCTTGTGTGTGTTTGTGGGGGCAGGGAGAAGGCATATCTTGTGTGTACTGACTTAGGGGCATCTGGGCCAAAACTAATCACTAACTTTTTTTCAAAGGGGGTAATCTAAAGTCCAGAAGAAAGTTCAGTGTCTTGGCTGGGAGGCAGTGTGTTCTAGTGTTAAGGCATTTACTGTAGAATCCAGATATCTGCTGTCTAGTATTGGGTCTGACATTTGTTTCACTACAATTTTTTTTTTTAGGAGCTCTTATTGACAGAGTTAAGGTAGGTTGTGCATGTGTGTATGCATGGCATAATGACATACGTTCACTATGCATCTTATCAGGTATGTATTGGAATGAGGCAGGACTCAACAGAAGATTTTTAGTTTGACCAGTGCTGCTAACTCCTTTCATTTACCTACATAAAAGCTGGGATGGGTAGTGTGGTGCTGGGGATGGGACGGTCTCTCTCTTTCCCCCCCACCCCACAAAAACAAAACCCCAAGGCAAAACAGTTTCAAAATTTAAAGTTCTCAAGTTACAGCAGCGTAGTCAAATCTCCATAAATACAATCCAGGTACACACTAATTGTATACTATTTATACAACTATTGCCCTGTGCATGCAGTTTCAACAGTGTGCTTTAGCAAGGGATGTGGCAGTAAATGAGAGAGGCAAGAAGAATTGTACATTTTGCTTTTAAAATGGCAAGAAGGATAGTGAAGTTGAAGGAGGGTATGTCAGATGGCTGGAATGGTAGCTGCAAGCAGAAGAGAGAGTTGGGGACTGTGAGCAGGCCAGAATGGGCAAAGCTGATGGAGCAAGTGGAGTCTTAAGGAGAATGTTTGTTAGCGGTAGGTGGAAGCATAGTCATGAAGGAGACAAGTACAGTTTTGTATTGGAAGGAGGGTGGGGCGGGGAAAATCAGTCTAATCTTGGCAGGATGGGCAGAGAGAAGGTATGTTTGTTTAGAATCATTATACCACCATGGAAGATCTATTTGTGTATTTAAAAAAAGATTTCTGTTGTGGTTCTTGGACAGCACATACACTAGTAATTGCTACTACAGCTGTTCCACTGAAATTGTACAGTGCCATCTTTTTCTTCTAGGGCTCTGTTCCACCCTCATTTGTACATCATGTGTCTTGGATTCACACATAATTTAACAAGGAAGACCTATGTAAATCATGTTTCCATTGTACAGATGCTTGTGCCTTAAAAACATAACGAAATAAATTGTTTTGCTGATAGGGGGTTTGGATTCCAGTTTGGTTGCTGCCATGCTTGTGAAACTGATGAAAGAATCAAGCGTCAGTTACCCTTTACAAACATTTGCCATTGGAATGGAAGACAGTCCTGATTTATTGGCTGCCAGAAAGGTATGGTAATATTTTTGTCTTCAGTTACAGTTAGCGTGCTCAAGCTGAATAGAGAATACTGCTTTTACATTACCTGTATAAGGTCACAATGCGTCCTGGATGTAGTCTTAATCCTCTTTTGGGTGGAATCAGAATTTGTAGTAAAACCAAGTTTGCACAGCATTGGGTTTGCGTCTTAATTAAATTACAGAAATAGATTGGTTTCATTTGTTTGTTCTTATGTATTTGAAAAATCTTTTTGTGACCAAAACTGTCACTGCGTTATTACTACAAGGCAGAGCCCTGCAGACGGACTGGGATCCAGGGAGTCCTGCAGGACCCGCTGCCATAATACCAGCAGTGGGTAAAATGTACTTTGTTGCAGGCATGATTGGGTGGGCAAAAAAAAAACCAGACTGCAGAAATTTGTGGGACATCACTAAATGGTTTAAGCATGATTTGTTCTATTTTTTTTTTAATGGTAAAAATTGTTTTTATAATATATAAAAACATTAACTTTTTTTTGGTAGCATGGGGGGATCTGTCTTTCTTGCGGGATCTAAGGTTTTTGCGGGTGGGAGCAGGGAAAAAATATGTGAGCAGGTGGGAGTGGGTATTGCGAGGCGGTATGGGAGCAGGATTAAAAAAAAATAGTCTCACTCATGGCTCTGCCGCAAGGGCCATGCTTTCAAAGGTGCCGCAATTCTGCCTCCATTTGTGGCTGAGTCCAAGGATAAACCACTAAACTTTTAGATCTTGGAAGAACCACTGGAACTGTCTCATCTAGCATCTGTCTATGTGAATGAACTTGTAGTTTAGACAAATCTTTTGTGGGGCACTGTGCTGTCTTTTAGGCTGTGTGGTACTTTAAAAAAACAAATGTCACAACTATTTACAGCCATTACAGATTCCACTGTGGTTTGTGTAAACACTGGGGTTAGAATAAACTGTAATTTGGGAAATATTTTCCACCGCAGTTTATAGTGGATATCCGTTTTATTTTCTTCCTGTCTTAATCAGTTATGTAATTTTTGTTGCAAGATTTTTGTCTGGCATTTTAGTGATATGTTGTGGATGTTTGCAAAGCACTTTGAGTTAAAAGGCAGATTACTAATGTAAGCTGTAATAACAGGTAGCTGCTTATATTGGCAGTGAACATCATGAAGTAATATTTAATTCTGAAGAAGGAATTCAGGCATTAGAAGAAGTTATTTTTAGCTTGGAAACATATGATATTACAACAGTAAGAGCTTCAGTTGGTAAGCTATTTATTTTAAATATACTCTTTACTAAGTACTGATGTATAGTTTTACAGGAAAGGTATTATCCTCGTATACTGTCTAATGATCAGAGAGGACCTGGGAGCCAGGAACCCTGATTTCTATTTCCAACTTTGTCATTGTCTCAGGACTTTTCTGCACAAACACTTATTTCATGGAAGCTGGGGTGTAAATCTACTCAATCCTAGCCTGCCATGAACTAATTGTGTGGATCCTGCTGCCACGCACTAACGGTTCTAGTGCTTTTTGATCTACTCTGCTTTGAAACAGGAGTAAATCAGAGGTCACTAGGGAACTGTTAATGCATGGCAGCAGGGTCCGCACAGACACTTATTTTGTGGTAGGCTAGCGCAGGCTAGAATTAGACTATAGTTTGTGATGAACTAAATGTTTTTGTAGACAAGCCCTCCATGTGGGACCATGACAAGTTATTGGTAAGACAGGTATAACAGCATTTACATTCCTTTGAGGTTTATTGAGGCTTTAAGATTCTTAAATGAAAGACAGAGATTCAGATTTTAGGGCCAGAAGGAAATATTAGTTCATCAAGTCTGATCTCCCATAAAACACAAGCCATAGAATCTCAACCATTTACTCCTGTTCTGAACCAAAAATTTCATGTTTGGCTAAAGCGTATCTTTCAGAAAGACAGGCAAAGTTTTGTGAATTCAAAATATATATGTACTATTTTGCCATAACAAATATGGAAACATAAATAATTTTTCTTCATATTTTTGTTTGCATTCAAATGTGATTTTACTATGACAGTGTAGTAGAACTCCTTGAAATAAACACCGGTTAATGAACTGAGTCTTTTTTTTAAAAAACAAACAAACAACCCGCAACAAAACCAAAACTATTTTATGACTAAACTAAATCATGTGGAAAGGCTCAATGAGGAGAATGCTGAATTCATTGTATGTATATGAAGAGAATAGAGAGAATTTCTTAATACAGTGCTTTGGAAACGAAATGGACTATACAGTATAACTGTTAACGTAAATTTCCAGCAGTAATAAATATTTGACAGACTGTTTTCATTCTTACAAATATAAGCCTTAATTCAGGAAAACATCCCTATTCATGATAGCCCTCAAGCATGTGCTTAAGTCCAACGGACTTCACTGGGACTTAGCTTATATCATAGAATCATAGAATATAAGGGTTGGAAGGGACCCCAGAAGGTCATCTAGTCCAACCCCCTGCTCGAAGCAGGACCAATTCCCAGTTAAATCATCCCAGCCAGGGCTTTGTCAAGCCTGACCTTAAAAACCTCTAAGGAAGGAGATTCTACCACCTCCCTAGGTAACGCATTCCAGTGTTTCACCACCCTCTTAGTGAAAAAGTTTTTCCTAATATCCAATCTAAACCTCCCCCACTGCAGCTTGAGACCATTACTCCTCGTTCTGTCATCTGATACCATTGAGAACAGTCTAGAGCCATCCTCTTTGGAACCCCCTTTCAGGTAGTTGAAAGCAGCTATCAAATCCCCCCTCATTCTTCTCTTCTGCAGGCTAAACAATCCCAGCTCCCTCAGCCTCTCCTCATAACTCATGTGTTCCAGACCCCTAATCATTTTTGTTGCCCTTCGCTGGACTCTCTCCAATTTATCCACATCCTTCTTGAAGTGTGGGGCCCAAAACTGGACACAGTACTCCAGATGAGGCCTCACCAATGTCGAATAGAGGGGAACGATCAGGTCCCTCGATCTGCTCGCTATGCCCCTACTTATACATATCCCAAAATGCCATTGGCCTTCTTGGCAACAAGGGCACACTGCTGACTCATATCCAGCTTCTCGTCCACTGTCACCCCTAGGTCCTTTTCCGCAGAACTGCTGCCTAGCCATTCGGTCCCTAGTCTGTAGCTGTGCATTGGGTTCTTCCGTCCTAAGTGCAGGACCCTGCACTTATCCTTATTGAACCTCATCAGATTTCTTTTGGCCCAATCCTCCAATTTGTCTAGGTCCTTCTGTATCCTATCCCTCCCCTCCAGCGTATCTACCACTCCTCCCAGTTTAGTATCATCCGCAAATTTGCTGAGAGTGCAATCCACACCATCCTCCAGATCATTTATGAAGATATTGAACAAAACCGGCCCCAGGACCGACCCTTGGGGCACTCCACTTGATACCGGCTGCCAACTAGACATGGAGCCATTGATCACTACCCGTTGAGCCCGACAATCTAGCCAGCTTTCTACCCACCTTGTAGTGCATTCATCCAGCCCATACTTCCTTAACTTGATGACAAGAATACTGTGGGAGACCGTGTCAAAAGCTTTGCTAAAGTCAAGAAACAATATATATCAAGGCCACTTATACGTATATTTTTCCCTTCAACTGTTTGAGTTTTAAGGACTAGTTCTAGGAAAGCATGCACCATGGGAACAATTAGACACAGAAAATATACCTAAAATGATATGGGTTAGTGATTATTTTAATGGGATTGAAAAGCAGAAAGAGTAGCTACTGTTGTGGCTTTCAATGGTTTCCCCCTCATTTCTAATATGTAAGAGAAGCACTGAAACACTAAATCAAAATAATTACTGTGCTTCTGAAGTTAGAATTTTGTTCAGTTATAACTGAATTTACAATAACTTTGTAAATCTGATTTTATTATTTTAGGTATGTATCTGGTTTCCAAACACATAAGTAAGAAAACAGACAGTGTGGTCATTTTCTCAGGGGAAGGCTCAGATGAGCTTACACAAGGCTATATCTATTTCCATAAGGTAAGAACAACATTTTGCTCTCAAAGGAAAAAGGATTCTTGTTTGTGCATGGCCATATTGGGCCACAATAATCAGGAAAGAGTCCTTGGAATACATTAATTCTTTCTGATGCTGGTACTTTATATCCACTTACAAATAAATACTGTATTAAAGTGGACAAATAAGTAAGTATTCAAAACCCCAATCTCGCAAACACTTCTGCACGCAAGCTGTTGTGCATGTGAGTAGTCCCACTGAAGTCGAATAGTAGAGTTTTAAGAGAACGTCACCAGCTGTGTCCAGGGTCCAGACATTTCCTTTTTCCTCCTGTTATAGGCTCTTCCTTTTAGAGATCATTATACATTTTTGTAATAATTTTTTAATTCAAACATTTTTTTCTCTTCTACATTTTTAAAAGCAAATTTAGAGTTGGTTAAGGTGCCAGCTGGAGATTGAAGGGCAGATCTTCAGCGGTGTAAATTGTCATAGCTAACTGAGTTCAATGAAGTTCTGACACTTTCTACCATTTGAGGATTTTCTCATTAATTCCTCTGTTTATTTATGGAATAAGGACAGTCCTGTCATAATGCAAGTTTTCCCATACTGTCCTGCTAATGTGTGTCAACACTGACCTGCGGAGACCACTTCTAAGGGTGAATAAACAGTTCAGTTGTCTTTCCCTGCAGTTTTTGGCCTCTGTACTGAGGCTGCCAAGTGTGAAGTCAAAGGAGCTATGCTGATTTACATTATTAGATGAGAATCTGGCCTAAACATCATCTTATACTTTTTGTGTAATAAATATCACTTACATCCTCTTGGCTTGTGGTGAGAACTGTCATAGTAACAGATGTACAATCTTAAACAATCATTATTATTATTTAATTCAGCATTTCCATGTAACTGCTTCCAAACAAATTTAATTGAGGAGGTTGATTATTTGAGTCCTTAGGGCCCTGTTCTGAGATCGCTTATGTCCTACTTGGATTCCTGAGAAATTTTTAATAGAAAGAAGACACTGGGGCGGTTTTGTCCAAATCACCTGAATTTGGCATTCTCCCCATAGAATGTGTTGTAGCTTTGGGGAAATACACAGGGCACATGCTATTTGTACAGTATTGGAATAAGCCCATGAGTATGAGCATGCATGTTGCGTGTTTCTATAAAAGTGAGGAAGGTTAGGGAAAGGAGTCCTAATCATCCAATTGTATGTAGTCTCCTCAAATGCTTAGAAATTGTGAAATAAGTTGGCATGCAGTGTAAATTTGTGTACAGATGCTTTAATGTTCATGCCCTAAGCGTGTATAGCGTATTACTGTACTATGGAATACGCTGCAGAGTACAACTTCTCCTTCTGTGCAAAGAAATCACTGGAAATCCATATATGTACAGAAAATTCTCAAAGTAGCAATACAACCATGCATTATGTGTGTGTACTCCGTTTGCATGTATGTTACAGGCCCCGTCTCCTGAAGAAGCTATGGAAGACAGTGAGAGGCTTCTGAGAGAACTCTACATGTTTGATGTACTTCGTGCAGACAGAACTACTGCAGCTCATGGGTAAGACCTGTTTTAGGCTCCAACAGACCACAGTTATAGGTGTAGTTTAAGAACCTAAGTAGACTAGAATCTTAAAGATTTTGCTGTCCTCTGTGAAATTACTAACATCTGAACATTGGCGCATTTGGTAACATGTAGAGGGAAATATTACCCTCAATTGTCTTCATCTATAATTCAGTATATTTTAAGGGACAAATTTGTTATCTGTTTATTGGTGGGACCAGGATCTGGCCCTAAAAGCTTGTGGGAGCAGGAAAGCAATATCCTTTTTTGTGGCTTCATGGGTTTAAAAAAAAAACAAAACAGAAAAAGATACCTGTTAAAAGTATCAGCTAGAAGGCTGGAGAACAGTATAAAATTACATACCAAGATTAAATTGGATTTGTATCCTGAAGGAATCCAGGTGGAGAATTCACAGGATTGTGCAGAGTTGATCATATCAAATGCACTAGGTTGCTATTCTGCTAATTGATGCAGGAAAGGCCTTTGTCTAGGAGGAATGATCTTTGTTATGAGCAGTACACAATATTTACTGTATTTAGAAATGCTAATATTTTGGGGGGGGGGGCGGGAAGTGGCCCTTCCTGACCAAGATAAAATCAGAAAGTTTTAAAAATAACTAAAGAGTTTAGGCAATATGTTTATAGGACCTCTGGCATAAACAACAGGGATGCATCTGAACATTAAGGAATGGAAACTGGAAGGAAGAAAAAAGGAAATTTGACAAGACAAAGTTACAGAATATTAATCAAGAAGCTGGCTAGATATGAAGGGAAGGAGGGTCTTGTGACTAAAATACAAGACTTGGGCAGGCAGGAGATCCAGGTTCTGTTCTTGGCTCTGCCACAGATTTGTGTGACTATGAGCAAGTAAACCTTCTTGTGCCTCAGTTTCTCAATTTTAATAATGGGGAGAATGCATGTTGCGCAGATGAGACTGGCTGCTTATTCAGGTTTGTTTATTTTCACACTTTGAATTGCCTTGTGCTTGAAGAGCTGCAATTGCCTTTTCCTGTTAGTTATACAAAAGTTTGTGAAATGCTTTATAGAACAATTGGAAAGACAAGGTACCTGCTCTGATAACTTATCATTAAATGTGATGTGAGAAATAGGGTAACAATCAGTATGAGGGGTTGGGGGCAAAGAAGGACAAAGTCAAAGATGCCGATCACCTGCGGAAAATATATAGCAACAGATTCTCGGTTATGCACATTGAACAATCTTTGGCTGAAACTGAAAAGCCCTAACCTCTTACTCGGTATACAAGGGTAGGAAGTTCAAGCCTCTTCACTGAAATATTACTGAACCGTAGTCGTTCTTCAAGGGCAGTGTGTACTGCACATTACCTGCAGTAGGTGTTTTGTGAGGAGGAAAACTAAGAATAATAAACTCAGTTTTGGAATGCACTAAGATACACTGCACCACTTCCACAGCTGACTTTAAGTGGAGCTACGCTGACTTGCACCGGCTGAGGTCCTGGCCCATTTCATTACACGCTTTAAACTAACGTGCCCTGCTGCAAGTACAGGAGTGCTTGATGCAGCTCCTCGCTACCAAAGGTAAAGTTCTTATCAACTCATTTGTCACCTCAAATATGAAGTCTTCGAAATGATACTAATTATCTGGCTCCACAACATACTGGGCCCAAACATAAGCAGTAAGGGCTCAGTGCTTCTGCACATGGAACTCTTGTTGAAGTTAATGGAAATTCTGCATGAGAGCATTGCAGAATCACTATGAAATGTCTTTGTGGTTCCCGCAGGTGCATCTTTATTGCTAACATGTTTGAAAGCCAAACTCTGGTATGCTTTTGGGTGAAACTTACCAGATTCTGCAACAGCTTAAAACATGCTGATGCGTCTCCTCACAGGCAGCTTGCTGGTTCTTGACAGATCTTTTAGGATTACAGGATTTTTTTCAGTGTTTATATGCAAAGTGCATTGTTTTATCGAGGTCTTTGTGGAACCTACCGGAGGAATTCCTACGTTTTTACATGATGATATAAACTTTCCAATAGATGGCAGCATACACTGTGACAAAATTCTTGGACTTTTTTGGTTGATAAATACTATGCAGATAGTTTACTGGATTGTCCTAACTGATTAATTGGAAATTACATTTTGAGCATAAGTGAAATGTTCCTATATTAAAGTACTAAACCTTGTATTCCTTCTGCTGTTCAAAATAAATGGATGTTAACAGTTATGGAATTCTAAACTAATGTGTCATGGGGTTGATGTAGTATGTTTTCTATTTTAATTTTTTGTTTTTTGTTGTTGTTTTTTAGTCTTGAACTGAGAGTCCCATTTTTGGATCACCGATTTACTTATTATTACCTGTCCCTGCCAGCAAAACTCAGAATTCCAAAGGTAAACAAACCTATTCAGCACCCAAAAGACATGTTGGAGATTAAGGTTGTGATCCGGCAGAGCATTAAGCAGGAGTAATCCTATAGAATTTAATGGTACTGTTCACATGCTTGATTGCTTTGCTGGATTGGTGCCAATGGCCTGATCTTTTTATTGAATGGGGACTTCCGAAGGGGAAGATATGTTCTTGTAAAATTTGTTACACTTAGGTTCCTAACATTCACAGCATTGTTATGCTTCTTGTCAATAGAATGGAATTGAAAAGCATCTCTTGAGAGAATCGTTTCAGGATTCCAACTTGCTTCCTAAAGAAATACTTTGGAGACCCAAAGAAGCCTTCAGTGATGGTATAACATCTCTCAAGAAGTCTTGGTTTTCAATTCTTCAAGAGTATGTTGATCTCCAGGTACAGCTATTTATATTAAAATTTCTGCTTGTTATCTACAGTACCATATGCTTTCATTCTAAGGTTTAAAGGCACTGCAGATATATTAGAAATTGCATCAGCCAATGAAAGGTGGAATTTGCACATAGTCCAGAAAATAAATACTTGAGTTTTGAAGTTCTCATTGTCATTTGTTCAAGAATATTACAGGAGCAAGATTGCTTTTAAGAAATGAAAGTACTTCAGGATATGAAAACTGTTGTAGTGTGAGGTGAAATTTTAGATGGAAAGAAACGATAAAATCTCATGAAAAGGACTATGAAAGGAAGTTGATATGCTTAAGTGAAGGAAATAGCTGGATTACAAATATATGTGTGTGTTTAGTTTATGGATAAACCTGTTTGATTCTGGTTTTCATGTGAGAAATGAATGCTGGAGCTGCGGTACTGTGGGAAATCCTTCATCTTAGGGCAGCTGCTGTAGTTTATACGAGCCATTTATATCACCTCTGCCCGCTGTTACCCAGCTGCAGAGTTAGTGCAGTGTCAGTTTTTGGTAGCCACGCTTGTTTGTAGCATAGTAGGCCCTTTTTGGAGCTGAAATCTCTCCTTACCGAGCCAGGCAGTGTAACTGCAGCTACACTTGCTTTGCGCAGGGGATTGTGTGTAAATGATCACTAGTGGTAGGACATAATGCCCACCTTACCCCAGCCTGTGGGTGAAATTCACCTCTGCTGGTGCCAGTGCAGTTTATGCCCTTGTACAACAGGGAAAGATATGCCAGCAGAGGCATCTACCTCCAAAGGAGTGGCTGATAGGATCCCCGCTCTGTACCCACCCTGGGGGTTGGAAGGAGATTAACTTTATGGTTGTGCTCTGTTGGAGCCCTGCTGGTGGAAGCTGATCAGGAGATTACCTGAATCAACCTTCTTCATCCCTACCCTTAGTGGAATGGAGACTGCAGGAGACTTCACCTCTGCACTCCCACTCCTGAGGTACTTTCTGCCAGTGGAAGCCTGCAGACTGGATTGTGCTGATTGGAGTGAATTAGGATCCATTGTACGCAGGCAGAAGAGAACCTATCAAGAAGCAGATAACTGCATAGCCTGAGCTTGCTCAGAATCATTCAATAAAGAGAGGAAGGAAATGGGGAGATACTTTTGTAAGTTTACTGAAAAAGAGAATTTTAGATTTAAAAAGGTTGACACGTTCTGTGGAGCTGGAAACAATATTGCACTAATAGGGCCATTTATGAGACTAATTCTCAATAAAGTTGCGCAGATTGAGCTCAGTGGGAGCCATGCACACATCCTAGGGCAGAATTTCACCTTTTAGAAAGCTTTTAGTCTCTTCCTGGAATTTAAGAAACGGTGGAGTTAATGGTAAATCCTTCTACCCTGAGATGATGGTATTTTGACTGCAGCTCATGGTCTGGTGAATAATTTATAAAGCAACTTCACAGCTTAATTTTTATTTCACTCTTGTCCATAGGTTGATGACCTTCTGCTGGAAAAGGCAGCAGAGAAATTTCCTTTTAATCCTCCTAAGACTAAAGAAGGTTACTACTACCGCCAGATCTTTGAGAAGCACTACCCCGGGCGAGCTGATTGGCTCTCCCATTACTGGATGCCAAGATGGATTGAAGCTACTGATCCTTCTGCTCGCACATTGAAACATTACAAGTCAGCTACCAAAGAATAAGTATTCCAGTAATTTTGAAACACAAATTACTTGTCGCCAAATGGCTCTACTTGCGCTAAAGCTTATGCAACCCAGTAGTCTAAAAGAATATTCAGAATGGATTTGGACAATGGTATTTAAGATGAAAGAGCCCTTTATAGCTAGTATAATAGTGTGAAATTCACCCCACTGCAGAGGGCTTGCACAAGGACCTCTGCCTCACTTAAACTACAGTTCTGGTCTGAAAAACTACTCTGTGAAAAGGGTACCATCTTGCTTAGCAGCTCTGCCCTTGTTAATACTCAGTCAGATTGGCTGACTTCAGTTACAAACATACATGTATTTTTTAATATAAAACCTCCTTGGAAGACTTGAATGGCTCATATGATGTGTGTTTGCCCGAATTTCATCGTGGGGGGGGTGTATAAAATGAGCATTTTTGGTCTGGTCATTCTGTCTAGGTTCCTGTGTTTAAAAACTGTAGCATTCATACGGTTACTATAGACATTGGGCAAGATCTACAGAGATTTGCAAATTCCTGCAGGTACAGAGAGGCACCTAATAGAATTTACAGAAGTGCCTAAGCAAGTTAGGTGCCTAACTAAAGTCAGTTGGAGGTAGGTATTTAACCTGCTTAGGCACTTCTGAAAATCCCACTACATGCTCCTTAGGCACTGGTGGGTATGTCTACATAGGGATAAACCTGCAGCTGGCCTGCGTCCACTGACTCAGGCTCCAGGACTGAAAAATAGCTGTGTAGACATTCAGGCTGGAGCCCGAGCTCCTGGACCGTGCAAGGGTGGAAGATCCCAGAGCTCAGGCTGGAGCCTGAGCCAGAATGTCCACACATCAATTTTTAGTCCTGTGAGCCTGAGTCAGCGAACCGTGGCCAGCCATGGCCATGCTGTGGGACTTTTATCTTTTGAAATATCTTTGTAGATCTGGCCTGTCTATACATATAGTGGTAACGGTTTTGTTGTAAGAATTTGAATAGCATGGAATAAAATTGGCCAGTTATATCCTTTGTTTCTACCTCAAGGGCTTGATTTTGAAAGCTGTATGGGCTTTTAACTTCATGATTCCTATTGATTCTAATGTGAGTCAAGTGGCTACACACCTGCACAACATTTGGGGAAATTTAGGAGTGAGAATAAAAAGTGTCACAAGGGAACAATATCATCTTCCAAGTGCTCTTCAAGACTCGGCTGAAGCCAGAGGAGGGGGCAATGTCATGTGGAACATTCTCTGGCACAATCTGGTCAGGAGGCCTTGCAGGATCAGGATGATGAAGACCCAATGGTACCATGGATTCCAAGGTCCCAGGAGAAGGTGTGGGTCGCAGTCACAACGATGGCTAAGGTCACTCCTTCCAGTCCACACATTCCACCGCTCCCATTTAAATGTACAAAAAGGAGGTGAAAACCTCATCTTATGATTAATCAATGAGAGCACATTTTGGTGACTTCAACTTACAAAAGTTTTCTCAGTTCTAGGTTCATTCAGATAATTGTTTTGCCAACTTGTGATTTTTACCAGGAGCCTTGAAGACCTCTTAGCTCTGCCTTTTAAAAAAAAAAAAAAAATTAAGGAATTCAGTTTGTACCAGTCTGTTTTTAACCTTTGGTAATTTCATAAGTTTATGTATCGGGCTTTACCTTTCTGTGGACTTTTGTTACCTTGAACTACTTGAGTATAGGCCTCTGCACAACAAGGGTCTTGAAACTGTTTTGTGTTGTAACAGATTCATAGTATGGTTTAGCATCGCTTCGCTTTTTAATAAAGGTTTTTTAACTGAAATTGACAGTTTGAGCCTCCTGGTGCCTACCATTTTCCTTAAGCCTAGAAGTGAAGTTTCTGTAGGACCCACCCACAACGGCTTTTGAAACAGTTTTACACCATGTTACCGTGCCAAACTATAGTGATGCTAAGCATCTTGACTGTACTGGGATGCAAAGGAAAGATGCGCTGCTCACTGAATTTTCTGGTAAGTTTTCCCTGTTACTATTGACCCTGAGGGGGCAGCATTCATTTTAGAAGAAGCTCTAGAGTAAAGAGAAGTTATTTGTCTATCATCACTCTAATGTGTTTGTCACTGTAATACCAAGTTGCTGATTTGCTGCTCTGGGGCTTCCTGTCAGAGGTGAGTGCTATATTCTGGGGAAAAAGTAACATAGTGGCAGAGTCAGTTTTAGAGGGAATGTAAGAGTAACTTAGGGGTGCCAGTCTTCAGTTCTCCCTCCTACCTTTTAATGAGGGTCCTACCACTTCATCAGTTGTTTTTATTCTCATAGCCCCAGGAGCCAAGTCTTTCGGGACAAAGGGCACCATCTCTGTCTGCACAGTTCAAGCATCCCTAGGACTGGCTCTCTAGGGATGCTGCAGGATGCCAACAAACAAGCAGTGAGTATGGGGAACCCAACAGAGAGGCTGACAGACCTTCTGGCCCCCCATGTGTCGAGAATTGATGTGATATAAATTTAAAATTCTATGAAAATATAAATTATTTGAAGTAGGATCTTTTTAAAATTCACAGCAAAGGGAGAAACTGGCTTGTCTTCCTTAAGTAAGGGCACACACAGACCACCTTCTGGGAGAGAGGACCATTTCTATGGGAAAGAACTTTAACCTGACTGGGCTATGTAAGGATATGTATGCTTAACTGACACTTCCACATTAAAACAAACAAACAAAAAAAAAAAACCACCTCCTCTGAAAAGCCAGCTTACAGGAATCAAAATTGGATGCAGTATTGTAGCAGTGTCAGTCCCAAGATATTATAGTGACAAGGTGGATGAGGCGCGCTCTCTCTCTCTCTCTTTTTATTGGACCAACTTCTGTCGGTGAGAGGCGAAGCTTACACAGAGTTCTTCAGAATGTGCTGAATGGGAAATGTGCTCAGAGTGTCACAGTTCTGGACAGACGAGTTAAACTCCCCACAAATTTCCACCACAACTTCCACAACCATTGCCTGTCCATTAAACTCTCTCTGGAACACATCCACACTAGCATCAACTTCCTGGACACCATGAGCAGCTTCAAGAATGGAACTCAACACACAAGAAACCCACGGATCAGCACCCCTACCTTCATAGCTGAGCTGTAACTAAGCATTTTAGTACCCTGGGGCAAGCAAGCACATTTGTGTCCCCTAGAAGTGGTGTGTGTGGGGGGGGTCATATCCTCCAGCTTTCTGCCTTCTATTTAGCAAGGGGGGGGGGGGCGACATGCCTCTGTTGGGGGATGTGCCCCACAGTTTGAAAACAGACGCCACCTGCCAGGACCGAGTAGCTTGGGAGCTGCTTGGCCCATTTGGACTTCTGACTCTCTGTTCTGTGGGAGCCAGGGCATTGGCTGGCTGCCCGGCAGCCCTCCCTCTCTTGCTCCCTGAGCCAGGCCATCTCTGTGTGGCCAGGCATTCTCCAGGCAGGGTGAGCAACACAGCTCCGAGTTGCCCCCCTGACATGCTCTTCCCTCTGCTGTGAAGGAGCCCAGCACTGGCTGGCAACACCCCCTGCAGTCAGAGATGCTCCCTGCAGTATTCTTTGCCCTAGGGCACCTGCCTCTCAGCAGCCTGCTCATACCCCACTCGCTATCTGGGGACCTGCTATTGCAGCAGGGTGACTCTCCCCACACTCCTTGGGCGCAGGGTGGAACTGCCCTGCCCCAGCTCCATGGCTGCTAGGCTTGCGGTTGCACAGCCTGAGCCTGGTATGCAGCCTGGGTGCTGGGGGCAGGCGGCGGGTGCTGCTGGCAGGGCAGACTCGCTCACATCAGCTCTGGAAACTGACGCTGGGAGAACGGAGCAACCCAGCTAGGGTTACCATATTCAAACAGAGGACACTGCTGGCGGGAGGGAGAGTTGGGGGGAGGGTCTGGTTGTGGGATACTGAAGGGTATATTTGGGGGAGTGTGGGAGGATGTGTGTGTGTATTGGTAGGGGGTGTTTGGGGGTACTGGAGGGGGTACCTGTGACAGGGGTACCAACAGGAGGTGGGGGACGATGTCACACTCCCTGTCACAGTGGCAGGGCGGCTGGTATGAGCCTGGGACGCAGCACCAGCCTGTCAGTCAGCACCTCCCTCCGGGTCTCTTCCCCCCCCACCTGGTCCCGGGTGGAGAGCTGGCTGTACTCTGTGCTCTGCCTGCCTACTGCCACATTACTAGCACTGTGGGGAGAGCCTGCTCCTGCCAGGGTCACTGGGCCCATGATCCTGTGGGGGGGGGCAATGAGCACCCCAGGCTCCAGTTTATACTGATGAGCCTGTTACCGGGGGGAGCTGAGCACCCTCTGCTCCAGCTGACACCGCTAGGCCCGATACAATGTGTGTGGGGGTGACCACTGGGCTTGATCCTACGCCACTCCATTTTTCTGCACCCAATGGTTTTGCACCCTGGTCAGCTGCCCTGTTCACCCTGCACTAGTTATGGCCCTGCTTCATAGATCCAGTAACCACCCCAAACACACCAAGGAATCTGCTATCTTCAACTGGTCACTCAGGGCTTGTCTACACTGCAACGTTGTTGACAAAACTTTTGTCTTTCACAGGTGCTTAAAAAGCCTGCCAGCGAAAGAAAAAAGTTTTGCCAACACAAGTGGCAGTGTGAACGCGGCTTTGTCGGCAGGAGCACTCTCCTGCTGACAAAGCTACCGCTGCTCACAGGGCTGGAAGTATTTTGTCAGCAAAAGTGCCGACAAAGTACTGACAGTGAGCGTTCACACACGCTGACTTTTAGCAACAAGGCTTTGTCGACAGCCCTCATCAGATACCACAGAATATGCTCCAAGAAGAAAATCCGGGATATACACCTTAATACACTCAAAGCCACCTTCACCATACAAGGACACTGCACCAAAGAAGTAGATCACATCATGGAACAGGCTACCCAAATAGTCCGAGACAGCCAGCTCCAATACAGAACTAAAATCCCCTCTGACTGCACACTCCAAGCTGTCATCTACCACTGCACATTGGAACCCATATGGGCTATCATCAAACAATTAAAACTCATACTCAGTGGGCACCTCATCCTGAAAGAAACCTTTCGTGAATCCCCTCTTCTGGCCTTCAGACAACCCTCCAACCTCTCCAGGCTCATCAGCAGAAGCAAGCTCCACACAGACCAGGACATACGAACTCAAAGCGGCACCAGACCCTGCCAAAACAACAGATGCAAAACCAACAGACATATCTCCAATGCTACAGTGATCAGCACCCCCCACACCTTTCAAGATGCCATGAGTCCTACAACACATGGTGTACCTCATCCAGTGCACTAAATGTCCTAATAACAACCATGTGGGTGAAACCAATTGTGATGGGCTGCACCCCTTAGGATGCCACCTGATGTACTGGGATACCACTGAGCCCACCTGTTATGCCAGCCTGGGCATCCTTTTGACCTGTCTTGCAGAGCTAGGCTATTAAGCCTCCTCCAGCAAACACACAGGCAGGGCCTCACCCAACTTCAGAATGAAACAGACTCTCAAATCACTTCTGGGACGGCTCAACTTAAAGGACTCGCCCCAGCGCTCAGGTATCCACCTCCCTTGAAGTGCAGACTCAAAGGTGTATTATGAAATCCGCCTCCTCCCTCAATGTGGAGGAAGGTATGCACAGCCTCTTATTCACTCCCCCCCATTATGAATAGCATAAACTGGTTATATTATAAACAAGAAATAAGTTTATTAACTACAAAAGGTGGATTTTAAGTGGTTCAAGGGATAGTAAACAGAACAAAGCAGATTATCTTAGTAAATAAACAAAAGCTGCAGACTGATCTTAACACATTAGATAGGAAGGATGCAAATTAACAAATTCTCACCCTGAGTGATAAACAGGCTGGCAGAGTCTTAAGGCACAAGTTGCCTTGGCTTTCCCAGGTTTTCTTACACAGGCTAAAGATCTTAGCCTGGGACCATCACTTCTCACAGTTCAGTCTTTGTTCTTCAGGTGTTCTTCAGGTGTGGTGTTGTAGGGAGAGTGAGGACCCTTCACGTTGTCATTGTCCCTCTTTTATATCTTCTCCCCACTTGCTGGAAAGCTTTTTTTGCTGTGACCTGGGTCAAACAGTTCCCATTGTGTAGAGCTATCTCTGAGAGGTTTCTATTGTACACAGTTCCTGGGATAATCCTTATGCTTGTGTGCATTTCTTCAATAAGACACTGACCTCATCCAAGGTAGCACATTTGAAATACAGAGACATTGTCAATATTCCCAGCTTCAGATACAAAAATGATACATGCGTACAAATTGGATAAACACATTCAGTAAATCATAACCTTTCCAATGATATCTTACAAGACACATCTTGCATAAAGTATATCTTAGTTATACCATATTCATATCATACCTGAATTTTCATGAAGAATATGGGGTATAACGTAACACCAATCACTACGCTCTTGAATGAACTCACATAGGAAATGATAAAAGGCAAAAACACCCTGTCACCTGTGAATGGACACTTTTTACAAAGTGATCACTCTCTATCTGCCTTGTCAGTCCTCATCCTCAAAGGAAATCTGCACAACACTTTCAGAAGATGAGCCATGATGCATACATTCATAACTTTGCTAGACACTAAAAATCATGGACTGAATAGTGACACTGGATTTATGTATTATTACAACTGTCTATAATCCACTAACAATCTGCACGGCTGCCTTCCCTGCCTCCACTTTTTTTCCCTTCCTGTGACTGGAGAGGTGTTAACGGGCAAGTTCACCTTGAATGGACCTTGAAATATGTGTTAACTAGTTATGCTCAACAATCTGTTCCAACATGTATTTAGCTGTG